AATTTTAATGTGTAATATTGCATTTTTGTTGTTTTTTAATTCGGGAAATCACATGAGAAACGGAGTCGGCCACAGGGCCAGCTAGGCCAAAAAACTAGAAAATAAAGTTGAAATTAATTTCCATCTCTGTTAATGGAAAATAGAAATAAATTAGTTTATGGGCTATCTGTGCTCTGCCCATCACGGGTATCAAAACCTGGTTTCTAGCGTTGTAAGTCCGCAGACATACCATTGTACCACTGGAGGGCAAAAATAAAATAGAATGTAAAAGTTAAAATTAATATTATTGCTTTCAAACATTGAATTACATTAAGTTTGGAAAAAGGTTGCAAACAAAACAGTGGAAAAGTATTGAAGATTCTGTAATAAGAGTTCAAACATAGTTTTTTTTTTAAATTGTAAAAAAATAGAAATAAAAATGTTTGCTTTGAAGAATAAGGCTTAATAATTTATAAGTTTGAGAAATGACATCAAACAAAACAGTTAAGTAATACTGGAGCATGAAATAAATTCAGACACAAACATGGGAAGAAAAAATACAAACGTGAGAATTAAAAAGTTTACTTGAACTAAGTTTGGGAAACGACAACAAACAACGGTAAGAAAAATATGAATCAGAGAATACTGGAGAATTTGAAGAATGAAAATAATTGAAATAAAAACAGTGGAAGAAAAAACGAATCTAAGAAGCTAAGTTAAAACTATTTGCTTTTTAAAAGAATTTAATTTAATTAAGTTCGGTAAATGGGAACTGACAAATCAATTAAAGAATTTGGGTAGCTATGGAAGTAATTAAAATAATGGAGACGCTTGACTGGTACATTGAGACCTCTGTGAATCATGAAGGGACCTTAGAATCCCGCAGCGGAGCGTGGGTATTTTAAGCTAGTAATGAAATAAAATTACATTCACTCGAGGGAAGGCTATCAGGAAGATTACATTCCCTCATGTAAAGTTGCATTTCCTCATGATTTTTTATTATTATTTAATCCTTGTAATATGTTCACTTTCATTGGTCATAATTAAAGAAATATGGATGGACCGTGCATTCCTTATCGGGAAAGCCAACTAAAAAAAGATGAAATTCCTCAAGCAAAGTTAAATTCCTCAGGAATGCGGAAATATTTCGACCCCTGTGTTCGCCATATGGGTGAGAGTTTTATATTTGTAGTTATGGCAAAGCTACTAAAGCTATGTGCCGCCGTTCCTAATTTTGAACTATTGACCAGAGGGAAGCGAGCCAGTCAGCAGCACCCTACTACCCACCATCCACGTTAAGGCTTTGACTGCCAGTCATAAAACGTATCCAAAGCTAATAGCGAGAGGGGACGTTCTGTGGTATCGCCAGCTCCGATATCTAGAACTATATGACAGGGCCAACCTGCCCACACCCATACGGTAAACCAATATTTTGAATTTCCTCCACAGTTGCTAGTCGAATTTTTTTTTCACATCTCAAGCTACTACACATGTATTGCAATATACTGAGTAACTTCACGTGTTTCTCTTTACAGCAATCAGTGCAAAAGAACTGACCAAAAATTTTGAGTGAAATCATTCTTTTCCACAGTGGTAAGTCTGAGGGCTTATAACGCTAAAACTCGAGTTTCGATACTCACGGCGAGAATAGCGTGGTAAGTCAGAAAGCCACGAAATTTAGCGTTGCAAGCCCTCAAGCTTAGCACTGAACTACAGAAGGGCTTTATAATGATGAAATATAACATGTCAAATAGAAAATGAATTTTAATGTGAAAACTGTTAAATTAAGTGTAAAGTTCACTTTAAAAGGACGTGTAACTAAGTGACGTAAAACGCGCCATCTATACCTATCTTAAGCACGGGTATTCGTTCTTGCAAGTCTCATCGAAGCCTCGAGATTGATTAGATAACCCGGTAATCCAGGTTGGTAACACAGTCATAATCCGATAATCTAAGTTCAGTACGTAGCCATAAGCCAGTTATTCAACTTGATTATATAGTAATAAGTCTGTAATCCAAGTTTATTTTATATTAATAAGCCGATAATTTAATGTGATTCTATAGCCAAAAGTCATTATTTCAAGTTGATTAATAATATCTGTGTCCACTTATAGGAAGAGCACTGTACATTTGAGGAAACAAATGTTTCAGATATGGTTTGTTATAAATACTGCACATTGAGAAGTGACTTGATTTTTTCAACAACACGTTTCTAGCTTCCTGCTGTTTCTAGATGACACAGAAAACAGAGGTCAGATCTGTTTCGAGATGACACAGAAAACATATGTCAAATCTGTTTCGCTAATTTGGCAATGTTTAATTAAGTTTGGCATTATCGTGATACACAAACACACATCATCACCCCACTAAACACACGTACAGCACGTTACCCCACTACACAAAAACACACATCATCATCCCACTAAACACACGTACAGCACCTTACTCCAATACAACACCATATTATCCTACTTACTATAGAAATAACTGACTGAATAACTTATAAACAAAAAAGTATTAGTTGATGCAGTGCATGAAGACGATGATGAAAATCGGAGTTGGTTTAAAGATTTATCTACAAGATAAAAAGAGAAAAACCAGTAAAATAAAACTTCAAGCATGAATAATTTACCTATCTTTCTCATAAGAAAAGCAGTAACCTTTATAAAAAGTAAAAACAAAGGATGCGGAAGTTATGCCTTATGATAATTTGCAAGTCAATAAACTTTCACCTAAAGTTCTTTGTTTTGTAACAGTGGAATGGTAAGGTTTAACTGCTTGGATCTTATGTTGTCTCTCACTACAGTAAACTTGTATTGAAAAGGGGCGTGAAGAATATCGAGCACTGTTTGTTTGTCTGTAGTTAAGCACAAAGCTACATAATGAGCTATCTATGCTCTGCCCACCACGGGTATCGAAACCCGGTTTCTAACGTTGTAAGTCCGCAGACATACCGCTACGCCACTGGAGGGCATCGAGCACTGATGTTGCAAATACATTCTTCTTAATTGTTTATCTGACAAAATGTTTAAAACAGTAAAAATAAATATGAAACCAACTCTATCATTTTATTCTCCACTTCTGCCCACCCAGAATATCGCAACCCGAATACTGCTAACCCAGGGGGTGGGGTGGAAGGTGTCTGTTGTGAGTAAAGATAACTCAAAACGTCATACATATACAATTAACAAGTATTATCTTGTTTTTTATTTGTTTGTTGTTGTTGTGTTTTCATTTTCCTTTGCCCATGGTTACTGATGACCGGAATAACTCATTGAAAATAGTTGACTGATGAATCAAATGATAGATGAATTCACAGCTCATTAGTATTGCGAAGTCAATAAAGTAGGTCCTCATATAGTGGTGGAATCTTAGCAACTTGTTTGGTTAAGATGTGCAATTCTCTATATAATGATGTGTAAACGACTATGCATCAAAACCAATACGAATCTTTTAGTTCAAGTACACTTACAATCTTGCGAACAAAGTTACAAATATAGACATAGTAAAATCAGATAATTCTGTTTCACATGAGTGCAAATTTCAGTTCAAACTTAGAAATACGCGCAGACGTTTGAGATAAAGTAAGATATTTATCGAAATATTAGAACTGCAACTGTACTTAAAAGCCAGTGACTGGAAAATAAAGGATAGGTCTGACATGCTATTTTTTACACGCCTCTGATATGGAACCCGCAATGGATAAATCATGAGAAACGTAGCAGATACACCTATAATTTGTGGTAAAAATAACATTGACTGCAGATCCCTTTTAATGCTTCGCCCGTTTTCGGTGTTTAAACGGTAACTTATAAACTAGGAATTATTTTCTGTTATTCGAAAATAACTCATGCATTTACTCCACAAATCTCTGAGAACGACCAAAACGTGTGAAAATGAATACGGTCATTCTCCACAAGGTACGTGTTTTACTGAAGCTTTCAATGGAGCAACTACCAAATAATGTTTGTTTTCCAAATCAAGTAAATACAACATCATTTTGACCAACCAAAGCTAACACATGGAAGCTCTGCACCAGAGCTATGATGTCACACACTACCCTAGAAACATAAACATTTTAAGTTGTTTACTTCGACTCTATTTCTGTTCTCGACACAGGTTATTACTACCACGCCTCAGATAAACTCAAACACAGTGCTGCCTTCCCTCTCAACCCCGAGTCCTGATGTACCAAGTTTACCAGAGTGTGCACCTCAGCAAGTATGTAACGCTATGTTCTTACGGCGGAATCAAACTCAAACATTATGTAACTGCCCATCGTCCTTTCCTAGTCCATGTTCCGCATCACACGACCATAGAGATGGCCACACAGTTCCGCTGGTAACAGATAAACAAGGACAGGTAAGTCATCATTGTAATTGAAAGCTACACCCGATAGTCATACTCTTACTTGTGAAGTCTCCTGTAGTAAAGAAGCTGCATAAGACTCGCCATATGTTTTAGGTAATGTTTACAAACCGTAACACACTGCTATTGGCACAGAAATGTGTATGGTAGCATCCTTAGACCTTAACATTACTGTCGTCACATAATTATGTGAGGTAGTGTCTTAATACAGTAATTGTCGTCACGTGAATTTCCATACTGGCAGTGGTAAGATTACAATAGTCTAGTGCATTACAGATGTAATGGATAAACGTTTAAAGATTGATTATGGGTAAAACATGATTTTCCAGAATAAGTTCAAATAATACAGGCAACAAAGATTGAAATGTTACTGTTTCTCCGTCTGAGAAACAGTAGGAGGCTATAAGTATTTCATTTAAGTTCATGATGATATTGCTATTATATGTCTTCACCCTTCAAACAGTATCTCTGTACTTGATTTGCCTGAAGCATTTCAACAAGTAACTTACTGTCTATTTTTATCCTAGGTTCTTACTATGCTGAAAGTCTGTGATGCAACGTTAACAATAAGAATCTGCAACGCGCCACGGGACTGGATGCTACTAGCTCTTCAGAGCATGCGCACAGGAAAAGCTCATTACCTATTGATTTGTCAATGTCCTACATTAGGGGGACTCCTGGGGCCCATTAGTCACGAGAAGCCGCCTTACGCCAACATCCCTGGTCTTCGAGTTTATGGCATGATTTGTTCACAAGAAGGAAGAGGGGCACGGAAATCAAACAACAGTAAAATCACTTATTTGTAAAATAGTTTTTATAGAGGCTTTGATCAATCTTTGAGAAAAATCAATCAATAAATAAAAACTAAAAACTACTCTGTTAAAACGTTTTTGAGCTTTTACTAACCATACTGTTTTAATTCTTAAAATTCTTCCATTAAAAATTCATAATCATTTTTGTTTTACTGTCATAATGTGTCATTGTACTATACCTAACTTACCCCCACAGCACCTATATATGGACGTCCATGAATGATTATAGTGACACCTGTATTATCATTAATGACTAAAGCTTGAATACGAAATGTCATCATCAATTTTGTATATTTTTGTTATTGCTCAAATAACGTAGCCGTGAAAGATATTAGGAACAATACGATCTCAATAATTATTATTTTATATTTATCTAAGACGATTTTAATGTTTTTCACTACAGGATGGCGCTGTACATTTTTGGTTTTAGAGAACATTAGTTTTGAAGCTGCAAATTAATTTATTTTGTTATGTTGCTTTTTATGTTCAGGATATCCAGAAGTTCCTTGGAACCGAATCCTAGACTTCGTGAACAATTGGAGTATCAAGATATGAATATGTTCATTTACCTTTTATATAACTGAACTTTGGCGCCATCTATTAGTAAAGTTACAAATAATCATGCTTTTATTCTTAATTTTACTAAATATATTTAAAACAGTCTTGGATAACACTAGTTTTGGCATTTTATTTAAAATACCTTTCTAAGTGTTGTTTCTTCAAGTTATTTCTTTATATAACTTGAGCCATAATAATTTGACTGATTTCATATTAATTACTATTCATATACCAAAAAATGTTAAATACGTATTTTAAAATGTTGAAACTATGTATTTCAAACCTCACAGTTGATAAACTATGAAAGATATGGCTACAAGCTTGTTTAAGGTTGCTCAGATTATCATAGTTTTTTATTTATTTATATTAATGATTTTGCAATAATGAACATAACATAATATTTTGGGACAACATAGGACCTATTGGTCCATCTTGGTTGTTCCATCCTCTAAACTAAACTACAATGATTAAAAAAATAATAATAATAAAATTTAAACCAAACATTTTCAATCATATACTTATAAAGGTTTTTCTTAAACTCCACAAGATCTGAAGGCAACTTAT